TGACTGACTTATTTCCCTTAGCATAATGCTCTTGAGGTCCATCCATGTTGTTGCAAACAGCAGGACTTCCTTTCTTATGGCTGGGTAACATTCCTGGACGTGTGTGTACACTACAATTTCTTCATCTGTTCCTCTGTCCATGGACTCTTAGGTTGTTTCCATATCTTGGCTATTGTAAATAATACTGCATTAACATGAGGGTGTAGGTATTTCTTCGTATTAGCTTTTTCATTTTGTTCAGATAAATACACTGAAGTGAAATTGCTGAATCATATAGCGATTCTATTTTTAATTTTTTGAGAAACCTCCATTCTGTTAGTGGCCGCACCAGCCTGCATTCCTACCATCCCTACAGTGCACAGGGGCTCCCTCCTCACAACAGCCATTCTAATAACAGGTAAGATGTTCTAGCTCATTGTCATTTTGATTTGCATTTCCCCAAAGATTAATGACACAGAGCATCTCTCCATGTGTCTGTTGGCCATCTGTATGTCTTCTTCGGAAAAATGTCTATTCAGATCTTCTGCCCATTTTTTAATCAGTTTTTTTTTTTTTTTTTTTGCTCTTGAGTTATAAGAGTTTTTTATATGTTTTGGATATTAGCCCCTTATCAATGTGATTTGTGATTATCTTCTCACATTCAGTGGTCTGCCTTTTCATTTTGTTCATGGTTTCCTTTGCTGTGCAGAAGCATTTTAGTATGATGTAATTCCCAACTGTTTTATTCTTGGTTTTGTTGCTTTTGTTTTTGGCAAGAGATAAAAAACCATAGCCAGGACCTATGCCAATGAGCCTGTGTTTATTTGTATGGGTTTTAAGGTTTCAGGTTGTACATTCAAGTCTTGAATCCATTTTGAGTTAATTCTGTGTATGGTGTAAGATATCAGTCCAGTTTCATTCTTTTGTATAAATTTTCCAAACACCATTTATTGAAGAGACTGTTCTTTCCTCATTGTATATTCTTGGCTCCTTTGTTGTAAATTATTTGACATATATGTGTGGGGTTATTTCTGGGCTCTCTATTCTATTTCATTGGTCTATGTGTCTGATTTTATGCCAATACCATACTGTTTTAATTACTATAGCTTTTGTAATACAGTTTGAAATCGAGGCTCATGATGCCCCCAGCTTTATTCTTCTTTCTCATGATGGCATTCTCTATTTGGGGTCTTTTGTGCTTCTGTACATATTTTAGAATTCTTTGTTCAATTTCTCTGAAAAACACCGTTAGAATTTTGATAGGGATTGCAGTGAATCTGTAGATTGCTGTGGAGAGTATGATCATTTTAGCAATATTAATTCTTCCAATCTATGAACACCAAATATCTTTCCATTTATTTGTATCTTCTTTAACTTCTTTCATTACAGTTTTACAGTTCTCGATATACAGGTCTTTGACCTCGTTAAATTTATTACTAAGTATTTTATTCTTTTGGTTGCAATTGTAAATATCTCTTTCTGATGGTTATTAGTGTAAAGAAACAACAGATTTCTGTGCACTGATTTTGTATCCTGCAACTTTACTAAGTTCATTTATTAATTCTAAGAGGTTTTTTGATGGAGTCGGGATTTTCTATACATAATATCATCTTATCTGCAAATAGTGACAATTTTTCTTCTTATCCAATGTGGATGTCCTTTCTTTTTCTTGCCTAATTACTCTGGCTAGGATTTTCAATACTATGTTGAAAAAAAAAGTGGTGAGAGTAGACATCCTTGTCTTGTTCCTGATCTTAAAGGAAAAGCTTTCAGCTTTTCACAGTTGAGTATAATGTTAGCTGTTGGCTTGTCACAGATGGCCTTTATTGTGCTGAGGTATGTTCCTTCTATGCCTATATTCTGTTAAAAGTTTTTATCATAAATAGATGTTGAATTTTATCAAATGCTTTTTCTACATCGATTGAGATGATCCTATAATTTTTATCCTTCATTTTGTTAATGTGGTAGACCACACTGATTGCTGTCATATTTGCAAACCATATCTGCACCCCTGGAATAAACCCAACGTGGTCATAGTGTGTGATCTTTTTAATATATTGTTGAATTCAATTTGCTAGAATTTCGTTCAGGATTTCTGCACCAATGTTCATCAAGGATACGGGCCTGTAATTTTTTTGTGTGGCATCCTTGTCTGGTTTGAGTATCACAGTAATGCTGGCCTCACATAATGTGTTCAGAAGAGTCCCTCCATCTTCTACTTTTTTGGAAAGGTTTGAGAAGGACTGGTATTAATCCTTCCTTGAATGTTTGGTAGAACTCACCAGTGAGGCTGCCTGGTCCTAGACATTTGTTTGTTGGGAGACTTTCAATTACTGATTCGGTCTCCCTGCTAGAAATGGGTCTGATGTTCAGATTTTCTAATTCATCATGATTCAGTCTTGGCTGGTAGGTAATCAAAATTTATCCATTTCTTCCAGGTTGTCTGATTTGTTGGCACATCATTGTTCATAGTCGTCTTTGATAATTCTTTGTATTCCCTGGTATCAGCTGTACATCTCCTTTTTCATTTCTAATCTTATTTGAGTCTTCCTCTTTTCTGGTGAGTCTCACAAAAGGTTTGTCAACTTTGTTTACTTCTCAAAGAATCAGCTCTTCGTTCCATTGATCTTTTCTAATATCTGCCTATGCCATTTATTTCTGCTCTAATCTATTACCTTCCTCCTTCTACTATAGCTTTGGGCTTCATTCTTTTTTTTCTAGTTCCTTGAGATGTAAAGTTAGGTTGTTTATTTAAGACTTTTCTCGTTTTTTGAGGTAGGCATTTATTGTACGAACTTCCCTCTTAGAACTACTTTTGCTGCACCCACTAAATTCTGGTATGTCACTTTTCCATTTTCATTTGCCTCAAGGTATTTTTTGATATCTCTTTTGATTTCTTCTTTGACCCTTTGGTTGTTCAGCAGCATGCTGTCTAATCTCCCCATATCTGTGAATTTTCCAGTTTTATTCATGTAATCAACTTCACCTTTCTTAATCAACAAGCCCACGGAGGTGTGTTCCTTCACCAAAATGCCAAAAAGCTCTAAAATAAATGCTGTCCTTCCCCTAAAATGCAGAAAGGAGGCAGTGGGTTTTTTTTTTTTTTAAGCAATTTTTCTTCTTAGCATATCCTGCCCTTAATGAAATTTTTATAGTCCCTGCAAAAGTTCCTGGTCCACAATTTCTCTAACAGGTGAGTGATGAAATGGGGGGAGGGTGGACTTCACATGGGTGAGGCCTGCAGGTGCCTCTCCTGAGGGGCTCACAAGGGGTCCCGGTGCCCACCAGCCAGAGAGCCCAAACCCCATCCACTGTGTGTACTTCCTGCTTGGAAAGCCTGGTATGTAGGTCTCACTAGAAAAACAGCTACAAACTGGCTACAGCGTTCACATATTTTACATATATATTACATAAAAGAAGCTTCTCTGTTGTGAAGAACGGATCCTTTAAGCCAAGAACTGCAGGCCGGAAGTACCCGCCTCAGAAATTGCACTGAAAAATGTGATTTACAAAAAAGTACATTAGAGCTGGGATTCCTTTGGTCGTTGTTGCTGCTCTTTTAAACCATCATCCAGCAAAGCTGCAATGTGCTTCTTTCTAAACCACAGAACCAGAGAAAATCAATTCAAGTATTTCCCCAAACTGCAGCACTGGTACAAATGAGCACTAACCTCTACTTCCTAAACTCCACAAAAACAGAAAACATGCCTTCTAAGGGACACAAGGGAAGCGAAGAAGTTGGGAAGTGAAATTCACATCTATGGCAAATCATATTTCAAAGAACTAACTGAGACTGGGGCCAGTTGTGAACTTGCTAGTGGGGAAAACCCAGCCATCTCCCAGAGATCGCACTGTGAAGTTAAGAATAAACGCAGTTACACAAGCAGGAAACCGTATTTTGAGTAGACAGGTTGGAAAGCAGCTAAATATACTGAATCAAATCAAGTATTATTGGAAGAACCGTGAAAAACTTCACCGTATGGAAATGAGGTAATAACCATTAGATACATAGCCGAAAATCAGATTCAATCAAGGAACAAAATGGAGTTTATAATTTGTATGACTCCATTTTATAATGTCTTTCGACAGTTCCCCAAACCAAGTGTCTTTCTGGGGAGATTATGACCGTTACAGTTTGCTGCCGCTAACAGTACGGCAAGGGGGGAAGCAATGCACAGGGACGTGGAAGCAGTGCTGGAATGCACACCCCTGCGTCTACATTTGAAGCAAAGTACGATTTCTCTGTACACTCAGCAAAATCACCTTCAGAGCTCACATAAGGCTCTTTATGAGAGAGCCTTTCTCTTTGTACCTCATCACTGACCGGCTGGCGCCACAAATCTACACCTGGTTCTGCTTGGTATCACTTTGTTAATGCTCTGTTCATTAATGTAACAAACTATCAGGAGAATATGCTTGGAATGGGCAGGCATTATCTCCCAACTTTCATTTAATTAAACTCTGCTATTGCAATATGACAGTCAGCACATCATAGGGGAAATTATTTTAAGAATGATGGTAAAAAGTATTTCAAAGCCTCCACTTAAATATAAAAGCATAATCTAAAATGGCCGAGCACACACTATAATTTTTCTATAATATTAAAGATGTTATTTCCAGACTTGGTAATTAATTGGATTCCATGGAGAAATTACGCCAGCATCCTTGACAGCAAAATGATGCACAAAGGCAGGGAACAGAGTGCCAAAGGACAGCCATAAACAACCATGCTGTCGCCCAGATTATGACAATCATCGGGCTTAATAAGGAGTGAGAGCTGCCTGCTTCTGTGCACACTCATTCCTCCCTGCAAAGTGCATGCACTGAATTCTGATTATGTTGCCTTAATAAAAACGAAGGGGAGAGGCTCCTGCCCCAGAAGAATGCCCGGCCCTGCCCCGTGGAGCCAAGAGCCCCAGGCTCAGTGAGGACAGCACCTTGCAGGGTGAGGGCCAGTCCCAAGCCTCCCACCGCCTCCTCCCGGGCCCTCAGGGAGATAGGTGCTCAGGAAGCAGGCTTACCGTCAATCCGGCTCACGAGCTCTTCCAACATCTTCACCTTCATTTGAATCCCAGGCTGGGCAAAGGTATAGTTGTCCTAAGGGAAAAATAACAACAAATATCATATGCACAGAAAATAAAACACACCTTCCAAAGGAGAAAAAGGAAGTCAGGACAAAGGTGAACAGTTTCACAGCGGAACAAAGCACCACCTGATTCATGCGCATGGCGTCAGGCCCTGTCGCACGGCCGACCCGCAGCAGGATCCCACCTGGGGTCAGGTCCGGCCCTTCCCGATGTCAGAGGGCGAGCACACCCGCCTTGGGGAGCGTCTACCGGAGCACCTCTTTATGTAAATGCAGATATTTACATTTACATGAAACAAACGGGCACGGGCACAGACAGCTCCTTGAGAAGTGTGTGCCAGAAGCAGCTGCCTGGCCGCCACCCAGGTAGGGGTAGTGGGCACTCTCCAGTGCCAGACCCGCCGGCGCCAGAAAAGTGGCGGCGGAACACCACCTGGGCCGGTGCTCTCGGCGCCCATGTCCTGCCCGCAGTCCACTGACGCAGCGCTGCACAAGGAAAGTGAGCGTGTGACCACTCTCGGCGGACCCAGGTGCAGTCGATAAACTGAGACAGGAAGCCCAGTGTGGGCATCAAGCGGGGTGAGTCCTCGGTCAAACAGACCTGGAGAAGGAGCCCTGCTCTCTACTCGGGAGCTGCGCAGCCGCGGTAAGCAACATCACCTCTCGGCTCCCGTTGGTCGTCTACTACACCGTGACAATCATGCTGCCTTCTAGGTCTGCTCCGAGGTGTACAGGAGCGCAGGTCAGGGGACCGTGCTAGAGGGCCCAAAACTACCAGAGGTGCCGAGGAATTGGGGGCGGGGGAGGGCTCAGCCAGTCTCCGTCATCTTCAGAAGGGCCGCTGGGCTTCGAAGGCACACATGCAAGGCAGAGACAGCCCCAGAGAGGTCTACGGCCTAAGCCCAGAGGCTGCCAAAGGGCACAAAGGTGTCAATCCACTGACCAAAGGGAATTATCTGGGCTAGCTGAGGGCCCACCACAGTCCCGGGGTCCTGACAAGTCCACAGGAGCATGAGAAGGACTCGACCTGCCGCAGCAGTGTTGAAGATGGAGGAAGGGGCCACAAAGCAAAGGACGCAGGCTGGAAAAAGGGCAGGTTGTGAGATCTCCCTGGAGCCTTGGGCCCACACCTGAGTCAGGCCCACAAGAGCCACATCAGAAGCCTGGCCTCCAGAACCACGAAGTAATACATAATCTGTGTTGTTTTCAGCCACTAAGCCTGTAGTGATTTGTTACAGCACCCCCAGGAAATGAATACAGGAGGCTCGGGGGATGCTCTTCACTGCGGCCCCCAGGATGCACTAGGATAAAAGGACGAGAAGAGAATCTAGAGCAATTAAGACCCCAATGCCAACCCTGCAGATCCCTGGACTCTGGTGAACACACAGGCCTTGGCCCCAGCAGCTCACATGGGCTCATGCTGGGCCAGCTCTGGGACAGAGTGGCTCATCCTCAGGGAGCGACACCAGGCAGGCCGCACAAGCCACACCCAGGACAGCGAGACCCCTGGCCTCTGGAAGGTGTGGGTGACATGGGCAACTGCAGCCCACCAGGCAGTCACTGTGGCCTTGTGGACAGTGGGGAGCACTCCTGCTGTGCCACATGCCACGGGGCACTGGGCGGGGGGGGGGGGGGGGGCCATCATTCGGGCGGGGATGGCTCCTAGGCAGCCGCCCCACATCTCGGCCTGCATTCAGGGCCCAGGAGGGAAGTGGAGGGCAAGTCCAGGCTGGACACGAACAACCCCAGAGAGTCAACCGCGCAGACACCCCCTGTGAGCGAGGGGCTGTGCCCACAAAACCCAGAGTCCAAACCTGAAGGGGACCGAGCAGCTGGCCACACAGGGGGCAGCCCACGGGCAACCCTGGGGTCGTGGCCACAGCACCCAGTGCGGCCAGCTCCAGAATCTGCGAGGGGGCTTTTCAGGTGAAATGCTCAGTGTGGAGCAGCTTGGGAGGCTCAGGTGGGGGGATCCTTGCCCCCAGCCCCGGCCCCGGCCCCGTCAGCTCTGCGTTCACCGCGCACACGCGCACTCGCCACCGCACATGCCCACATGGCAGCCAGAGCCAGAGTGGCCGCCACCAGGACGCAGAACTAAAGTCTCCTACGGGCATCGAGGAATTTCCACAGACGCGGAAAACGGAGTCAGCCCTGCCCTCTCGCTGGCCGATCTGGGTGACAGGCTCTGGGCTCCAAACCATGGCGTCTCTGCCCACGCCAAACCAAGAAGGGTGGTGTGCACCCACCTCACCCGGAGCGATGCCAAGGCACAAAGGACGGCGCTCCCGGGTTGGCGTCAAGGGGGCCTGGCGTGACCGTCTCCTGGACCTGGTGACAGGCCTGCAGGTCCTGCTACATCCCGAGCTCTGGAGAAGGGAGTCAGGGACGCGCATCTAATGGGCGGGACTTCAAGGCTGGACGGAGCCGTGTGCGTCCGTTAAGGACACACTGTAAGCTTTAACGTATCTGAACTTTAACAGGGTAAGAAATTTGGGTTTTGGACTTGAGCTTGCAAGGGTTAGCCTCTGAGACTTAATTTCTCCTTGGAAATTGGTTAACAGAGGAGATTTATATTCAAATATGGAACGTACTGCCTCGTTTACATTATCACTTAACCTCACAGCAGAATTTCCATTGAGCTAGGTTGAACAATATACCTGAATATAATTCAGGATGGGAAATACACTGCAGACTGATTCTGCAGCCTGGGCGAAGGCCTTGCAGATTATTTAATTGATGTTCAGTTCTGACAAATTCCAGAGCCATCAGAGGTACACTGTAATACCCTCCCCCCGGTGGTCCCAGGAGAACAAAGGGGCGAGGGCTTCACTGGGAGCTGGTCCATCCTGATGGGCTATGGATCTCCTCCTCTCCCTCTCCAGGGGGATTCAGCTAGCACCACTCCTGGACCTTCTCTATCCCCACAATACTTGCCACAAGAAGGCAACTTATCAATTGCTAAAGCCGGCAGAATAGACAGGCTGTGGGCTCAGCCCTCCTTCCACCTGTCAGAGCCAGCTGAGTCCCCAGGCAGGCTGCTCCCCCTAGAAGGCTCTGCTGCACATGAGGGTGGCCTGGCTCTGGCCCAGTGATGGCTCTGATGGGGTAGGTAAGCCCGAGTAATCCTGGGATTCGGTCAGCCAGTTTATTTGGCTCTCGCACTAAGATAGGCTTTCAAGATTCTCATTTAGAAAAAATAAAAGTTATTCTTCGGTCTCCATCTGCCACTATTTTGTTTTATTTCTCAGTTTGTTCAAAACTCAGGTAGGGAAGATAGGTTTTCTTGGAAATCCAAACAATGAGAAAAGCTAAAAACCTGAGAGCCTTTAAAATTTAAAATTTAAAAAAATAAAACTATGTTCTGAAAGGACCAGAAGAGACTGATGGATGGGCTGTGGCCTTGGCATTCTGGACCTGGGTCCCAGGCAGAGAAGATCGACCTTCAAACGGGCTCCAACCCAGATGACAAGATGGGTCTCAGAGGGCAGAGCCCAGCAGTCAGCTGAGGGAGCCCAGGCTGTGGGTGGCCCTGCTCAGTGTCCAGGAAGCCTTTGAAGGGCACACCAAGGACCTTCCAGAGCCAGAGGCTGACTGAGAAGGTGTAAGGGGAAAAGAACATTCTGTGGCCCCAGCAACAGCCCCTCTGGGAGACACGGGGTACTCAGGCCCTCCTGCAGGGGGGGGGTATCTGTGGCCCAGCAAGATCCTGCCAGCACAGCACCTCTCACAGGTTCTGCCCGCCCAAGGCCAGGATACCAGATGTACCTCTGGGCCATCACCCCCAGCACCCCATCCAAACATGCACCTGCACACACACCTGGCACAAAATCGCCTGCTACACGAAGCTGTGAATGGGCGCAGAAACCTACACTCATGGAAATATTAACAGTAATAATGTCACCCCCTCACAAAAAGTAAACATTCATATCCTTTTTAATTGAGATTTGATTTTACATCTTTAAGAAAGAATACACTCTTCGAAACGTACAAGTCAGAGGAAGAATGGTCTGAGGAATACAGTGATACAGTGACCTTTTGGGGAATGTTTTACCCAAGGTAAAGTCTGTATTCACAGAAAACCGAAGCACGCGCCCACGGCCTGCCTTACATCTGTTGCCATCCCACCTCACACTTCGGCAAAAACAAATAGCACTTTCTGTGCTCATCGGGAGAAAAGGAGAATAACATTTTCTGAAGGACCATGGCAGAGACGAGCTGAAAATTAAATTCACAGGGGCTGAGCTGGAAGGCCCCACAGCCCCCACCTGCCACAGCATGTAGCTCTGGAAGCACCTGTGACAAGGGGCTGAGCACCGCCCCCCCGCCCCGACCAGAGACACGCCGTCTGGCCTCTCTCCCTGGAACACGGCTTCTTTCCTACGCTGAAACCACAGGAGCCCCTCTCTGTGCCCTGCAGGACCTGCCTCTGGAACAGCTCAGCAAGTCCCTTTCGCAAACAATGGCCTGAAAGACCTCTGTGTCCATCACCTCTTGCAGGTGCCCCCAGGCCCCAGACACAGCCCTGGACAAAGTACCCCACGGGGGCCCTGGCAGTGCAGAGGTCAGAGGGCAAGCACCTGCTGCCGCGACTGCACTCCATGTCACCCGTCAGGATGTCACCCCGGCTACTGCAAGTAATGCAGCGTCCAGAACAGGGTCGGACTGTGAGCTGCTTCATCTCCCCAAGAACCACTTTTGCATCCTCCCGTGGGCCACGCGACTTGCTGAGTCCTGGCAGAGACAGCACACAGAAGCGCAGGCCTGGGACTGCTGTCCTCAGACAGGCTCATGTGCAAGGCCGGCCCTCCCCTGGCTGGTGCCAGAGACCCGAGAGTTCAGGAGCATTCCCATCATTCCCGAACAAACAAGAATGCTTCACTGGGCCTCAACTGACAGTGTAGCTTATGCTGAACTGCATTCCTTCTGGGAGTCTAGAATTTTGGAAAGTGCCAGGCAGAGGGCATCAAGGTGACGAGCTCACCATAGAACCCAGGCACAGAGTCTCTAACGA